CAAGTCTGTCCGAGAGCTTTGTTTACGACACGAGCTGTGTCGCTCCGCCTCCAACCCACCCCATTCCTGCCACCCTCCTTCCCCTGCCCTCCACCTCTCTGCCGCTCCTTCCACGCCCACGCCGTCGCCTACTCCTTCTTTGTAAAGCCTTCACTGCTGCCACCCCACTCTCACCCCCGTTTCCCCCTCCGCTCCCTCCCCGCCCCCTCCGCGCTATCCCTTTCGCAAGCACCCTCCCTGCCCTCTCACTCTCCTGCTCCCCCTCCTGCCCCTCCCTCCACCACTCCCTCTCCCGATGTACACGCTCACACGCCCACTCACACAGACGCTTACATACACGCTCACCCCACTTTGTCCATCTCCGTTCACGACTGCTGACTTTCTCGTCGTCGCCCACGCCTCTGACTTCCCCGCAGCTCCGACCCCTGTCACCGTTTCCCGCCCCTGGTATAGAGCCCGCCCCCACGCGCAGCCAACTGCGCGAAAATCGACCTCTCCCCCCCCCCCCGGGGCAGGGCGGGCTGCGAATGCCTGCGCCCGACGACCGCCATTGTGCGCCGAGGGCGCGGGCGAGCGAAAGAAACGCAACGCTCGTGTTCCGGAGCGCGATTCTTTTCTCTTGTTTACAGTTTCAATTCCATGTGAACAGTACAAAGGAAAGCCGGTCCATTCAAACGAAACTTACATTTTATGCACACTTTAGAGATAAATGTTGAATCTTGGGGTTAAGAACGTCAATAACTTTTAAGAGTTCCAACGATTTGGCTTCAATCAAGTAAAATAAAGAGGTGGAGGGAGTATCTTCTTCGAGCAGGGAGAACAGAAAGACAAGGTTCTTATTCAAATTAATGAGAAAGTTTTAGAAGATATACTAATATAATTAGTCACACATATCGTTGACTTTTCATTATCTACCAACACACAATACGAACACAGCGCGAAGGAACTTTTGGGCTTTAGTGAAAATAAACTTGTAAAAATGTTATAAACCACAATCACAATAAATATTTCTCCCCATAAAATATTTTCTTTTTTAAACAAGTATTTTTCATCATTTAAAAGTGCATTTTTCGTTTTTTTCTAAAGAATTGTGAGTGTCAAATAAGTAATGTTATTACTTCTAGAATTAATAAGCAATTAAGAAATTATTTTTCTCCCTATTATTAGTTTTCTTATATTTTTTTTTCAAGAAATTTAAAATATCAGTTTACCTCTCCGATTCTTTCGGGACAATATCATTAAAAATGATTTTATCATGTCGATATTTTTCATTAAATGATGTAAACTTGAATTTTGAATTAAATAATACTTTATTTTTATTGTAAATATTCCATAATACGTGTCATATACCTTTTTTCACAGGTATGAAAGGTTTGTCAAACACCATTTAGTATTGTGCTTTCAATCTTCTCTTCAAAATATCAACTGCCATATCTCGTGTCAATGATGTTTCTCCCTTCATATTTTAGTTTAAAATTACTCAGTAAAAATAAATATTCTTAATACTTAAAATATATTTCACTATTCCACGCAAATTAGATCTAAAAATAATAAATGAGGGAAATAAGTTGCTAGTTTTGAAACTTTGCGAAAACATTCACTGTAATAAGGAACCAAAATTTCCTTCCTCGCGGAGGGTGTATCCCTAATTACAGACCCCAATATATTCAGTTTTTCAATTTTACGCAAAATGGTTCGTTTTTTAAAGAAAAGTGCTCTTACAATAAAATCTCTCATAGAATTGGGTAAAAAAAGTGATTCCCATGTTTCATGTGGGACGAATAACGAGAATAAAAATTGTAGTTTTAAAACACGTATATTTTGGTATTATTTTCTATTTTGTTTTTGAAAAAATGTATACTTCTGTTTATCCAGAACACAAGAACATTTTGAGGTTCATGGCATAGATGTTTTGGTTATGTATTCAAGTTATATGCAAATAAGTACACTAAGTTTAAATTATTTGTTATCTATGAATCAATGACACTTTAAAATGTTCATATCTACTTAACATACGTAAAATGCTCTTAATTTACAATAAATCGTCCTCAAAATCTTTCGTTCTAAATCAACGGAATTTGTATTCAATCTTTGAGTAAATTAATCGGACACATTTTCCTCTGAAATAATTGTCAGCCTTGTCAACTTCGATAGTGCTGTTGGCTTGCGCTTTATCTTAACGATGCTGGCCCTCTTAAGCTTCAGGCAGCCAACTTTTTTCACGTCCTCTCTTAGTTCCTCTTCTTAGAAGGGTTCTTTTACCAGCTGTCACAGCTGTGTAAGAGATGGCATCCTCAGAAGAAACTAATCCAGATGCAACTGAATTAAATTCTTCTAAACATTTGCACGGGACACCAATTGCCGGGGTCAAAGCTGGACCCCAGAATAAATTGAAATATATTCTTAATTGAAAGAAACTTTTATATATTTTGGAACAAATTAGACATGTTTTTAGGAATGCAATACAATCATTTTCTGAAAGTTTGTGTTAAAATATTTTCAGAACTAGTTCAACATTTACTATGTTGCTTCGATTGCATAACTGTTATCGTTGACAGTTAATAAGATCTCAACGCTTTTACCGCCAGATCTGATTGTAAAGTACGTCGATATTTCCACGAAGCGTTTACGCATGACGACTTTCTATTTTTCTAAACATCCGATAACCATATAAAAACGAAACTATAACTAAGAGTTCTGAAATGGTCTAATAGCACAAGTCGTTAACGGTGAAATGGTAAGGTCTGATCTAAACAAAGATATAAGAGAAAAACTACGCTTGGGTGTGTCGTTGACACACACACACATGTTAGTATACGACTGTGGATACAATACGTCTCAAATACAAATACAAGTCGTTGTATAACTTCTTGAACCATAGAAACTGGGATGGAAGGAGTCAAACCAATTCCTCACTCCAAATCACTTGAAATAGACGCAGCTCTAGAAATGATATTATTACTAATATCGAGCGATTGCGATAGAATAGGTAATAGTAGCATGCCGCATGATAGATAAAGTAGTGAAGCATGTAATGTAGCTCTTTAAGGAATGGCGTAAGGGCAACCGGATCTGAGTTCCATTGCCCTAGCATGAAAGCACAGACCGACGCATCGGTCTCATGTATTTAGAAACGGTGATACCTATTTACTGGTGTGCAGTTGCACTCAAATTGCAGAAAAAATGTTAGTGATCAAAGCCAAGTTACGCTGCACAATGTGTAAAAGCTATCAAGGTCAAAGTGGTAGTAATACGACTCCCATTAATTTGACGAATGATTCTGAGGGCGATTTCCTGTAAATGATGTTCAATAGATTGATTGATTGATTATTGATTCCGCGTGCGCCAACTGCTAAAGTCACTTGTCCCGTAAGTGTATGCATGTGTTTTATCGTGGGAGGTGGCTGTGGTCGTCCTCTGCGCGATGGCGAGGTGCGGCCCCGGCCTACGTCGGCTAGCGGGGATTTTCTCCAACCAGGTATCTCCCATCAGCGTGGCACCGCCCCAGGCGGGAGTCTTTAAGCTCCCAACATGTTGTGTAGTGTAGTGTATATAAGTGTGTGTGCGTGTGTTCAATAGATTGATTGATTATTGATTCCGCAGTGTGTGTGTGTGTGTGTGTGTGTGTGTGTGTGTGTAACTCAGGGTAGAGAATATGCCAAGAAAGAGGAAGGAAAATGAAGTCGTAGGCTTCCGCGACCAGAGTCATGTGTGTGATCTTGGCTGTCCGGGTGACGCCGCGTCGAAGGCTGTGTTGCCGACGTTTCGACCATCTACTTCGCGGTCTTCCTCATAGCAGCATACTTCGCATACTTCGCATACAGCACTTCGCATACCAGCCCTGAGGAAGACCACGAAAAGATGGTCGAAAATTCGGCAACACAGCCTTCGACGCGGCGTCACCCGGACAACCATGATCACGCACGAGGAAGGAAGATCGCGCGCGGTCCGTGACCCGTTTGTTATGGTACTGCTCCGGCATTCGCCTGGTGTTGATCGGACAACCCACGGAAAACTAGAAGCCGGCAGCTAGACCTCTCCTCCACACAGCGGGTTAATAAGACCTAGATAGTCGATGTAGCTAGTGTTGGAAATCTTTCCACCGTCAGGATTCGAACCCTAGTCAGTAGTTTTCGGAGTCACTTTCGTCGGTATGTTCAGTAGATTTCATGTCATTTTTTAAGAGTTATAAATCAAATAGTATAATAGATAATATTGTCAAACTTCATGTGTTTCTTTCTAAACATCTTGAATACATAAACGAAAAATCTATACCTTTACCTCAAACCGTTCTTAAGTTTTTGATAGACGAGAGTATACCTTTTTTCGAGAATAATAAATAAAACCGAATTATATGAATTTTAAAACTCCTATATCTCGATATTCACCTTACACAAAATATACAAATGATATTTTGTACATATATGTATGAGAAATGTTTTTTTTAATAATAACACTTTCCTTTAAAAACGAAAGATTTTACTTAGAATTGAAAAAAATTTTGAGGGTGATTTTGAGGATACGTGCCTTCTCGAGGGGAGAAAATCCGTTATCTGTTGCTTGTTTCAACACCCCCATTGAACTTTTTTTGCAAAGTTTCAAAACTTTATGAATTATTATCCCCAGTTTTGTCTAATTTGCAGGATTAGTATGTTCGTAAATGAAAAAGGTGTTCATAAGAATACAAAATAATATATTTCGAAACTTAGAAAAAGGTGTAGCCCCTAGCGTCTACAATACAAATCAATAAAACAAACTATTACAATAATTCGTGTTGGTGTCACTCATGCTGGTGGTCATATCGAAGAACCTAAGGATTTGCGTAACATATACCGTAGTTCTTAACTTTCACTACGTAAGCGTTTTACACTGAACGGCTTGTAACCGGCCCGCTTGAAACACGAGCCCTCCCACAAGGAATTTGAGCTCAGCAGTCGCACTCCCTGGGCCACGTCAGCGACCTCCGCGTCCGCCGCTCCTTCTTTCGCCGCTCCTCGGCGATGGCGTCGTTGGACAGCGCCAGCGTCGCCGCCACGTCCAGCGCCATCGCCACGGTGACGACGGTGAGCAGGCACACGCTCAGCACCAACATCGCCGCCGCCGCTCGCTCGCCGGGAGACAGACAGAGTAGAAAGGGCAAACGAGAGACCTGGGTCGCGTCCCCAGCCGGCAGGGATCTCGCACCTTATTGTCTTCGTCGCCCCCGCAACCGGCAACTGAACGTCGCCGACAATCCTTCCGTTGTTTCCGGGTGACGTGTGTGATAGTCGATCGGCACGGAATAATAACGGTGAAGACTTCTCAGAGCATTTCGTTCACTTGAATGACGTGTCTTCTTTTAATACTGTGTTGATACTAGTGGTGATCAATCTTGAGCGAGTGTTTGAAAACATTCTCGTCGCCAGTAAGAAACACAAATAAAAGTAATAGTCTTCAAAAAGTTTATATGCGTTATTCGACGTACATTTGCTTCGATTCAACGTATCAAGGATTTTCTTGTTAATTTTATCCATAATTCAACATTTATTTTAAACTATCTCATTACAACCAACACGTAGATAATCATTCTCGTTACATCCCTGAGTTCCCTTTTCCCCTTCATGTAAATTAATTTATGTATGTATTCTGTAACGAAAGTATGTATTCTACAATGGTAGAAAGCTCAGTTTCGTATTTAAAATATTTGGGGTAATAACAAAAGGCGCTCCTCCCTCTTCATTACGAAACAATAAAATGTAAATATGAAAATATCATATCATTCTGAAAATGCTTCCCTAGGAGCGAAAATATCAGTTCGATTATTGAGCAGAATAAAAACATTATTCACTTCAAAATGCTTTCAATTATTTCTAATATTAATCGGTATTCTCAAAAAAATGATAAATTTTAGTGTGAGTAGCCAACATGAAATAATGACATTTAAAACTATCTACTTTGCTAAACCTCAAAGAACGTACAAGTTCAACTTACTCATGTTTCATTAGGATTTAAAATAGATAATGTAAGATATTTTAAATCCAATGATATGAGGTGTTTGAATTTCACGAGTCCTTAAAATAGGGCTGCTAAAAGATTTCGACTGATTCCACGAAACCTTTGTTGTGCCTCAGCAGATCTCGTGCCAACCTAACTAAAATAGATTGCTACATGGTCTCAAATAAAATTCGCCCTCGTGATTCATGTAAACATTTGGTTTATTCATATTCGTCTACCCTAAAAGACGTCAATTTGCCACTTTCTAAATGATCACTCACAGAATCCCAGAATAAAATCGTTCACACGAACGTCTCTTTGGTTGGTTATTTCCTGGGTGTTAAGGTTGAAGTTTCTAAGGCATTATCCAAATATTTTGCTTCTCCTCATCATACGTATTAATATTTCAACCTAACTAAATAATTGAATTGCACCACTAAATACATTTTATGGTCCAGTGATAGCTAATACGTGAGTTTCTATAATGATTAAATATATAATTCTTTAAAATATCAAACATCTTGATACTTTCACAAGAGAAAAAACTGATAAAAGCAAGTCTGATCACTTCGGCACTTTGATTTTGGTCAGCTCCAAAACAATTTTCTCCCTAAAAAATATTTTATTTAATCTGAAAGCATTTGGTCTCCTAAAGAGTGCGTCAGAATTTTCACCATTAACGGACTGCGATTCGTTGAAATTCAAAAGATATGTCAGTGGTATATGTCTGACCGGAAGAGATCGTATGATCTGCCAACGAGTTTTTTTTATTACAAACAGCTAAAGCGTATGCGTAAATAAAACATATGTGTATTGCGCTGCGCTGAGTCAAAATTTTGTAACATTTTGTATTACTTTGGTGTGTAGTGTTGTACCATTCTGGGGTGGAGTTCATGTCATACGCGTATTTTTGCATCAATTGCGTCCAAAAATGTTGAGTTTGTTCTGCTCAATGATGATTAAAATTAATTGCAGAGGCATTACATCACAGCTACGACGTTAAAAACACTCAAATACGCATTTTTCAATAATAGTTAACGTACTCCAAACGCAGTAACATGTACAACTGCCAACTCTACAGCTCATTCCCCATGTGTAACATTTATGCATTTGTGTTAGCTTTCTGATAAAATAAAAAACAAGCGTGCACGTCCAGGAGGGAGGAGCGCTGGGGTGCGGTGGGGGTGGGGGCGGGGGCGGGGTGCAGAGAGCGTGTGACGAGCGGAGTGTGTGCGCATGCGCAGGGCAAGGCAGCATGGCAGGACCAGCGGGAGCGCGAGCGCCACGTGTCGCTCACCGAGGTGGCCGTCAGCCACCGCCTCAAGGCCTCCGAGGCGCACCGCCGCTGGATGCGCAGGAACCGCGTAAGTACCCAACCGCCGGCGCCAGCGCCAGCGCCAGCGCCTGCGCCAGCTCCAGCGCCAGCTCCAGCGCCTGCGCCTGCGCCAGCGCCAGCGCCAGCGCCAGCGCCAGCGCCAGCGCCAGCGCTAGCGCACGCGATGCGTCAAGCCTCGGATTTATTCGATTTTTTATTACACAGGGAGGGGTAGAACCGACTAAGCAGTTTTGAGAAGTAATTAAAAAGAAATCCGGACGTATACGGGGAAAATGTTTTTTTTTTTAAATTTTCGAAGTTGGTATTACTCGTACATACCATTTTGTATTCATTATGTTTTGAAAATATCGTCCGGAAGATGGTGGCCTTTAGCAGCAATACACTGGTGGAGACGATCTCTGAGGTTTTGAACAGCTCGTTGATACGTATCATGGGGTACGGCGTTCACTTGTTCAAGAAACCGAACCTTTAGCTCTGGTAGGGTGTAAGGGCGACGTTTAAACTTCTTTTCGCTCAGATATTCCCAAAGAAAAAAGTCAAAAGGCAGGAATCTGGTGACTGCGCAGGTTACTCCACATCCTGTTGGAACCATATGGCCCCTAATCCCTCTTCTTCAACAGTCTCTTCAATTCTAGGAGGCAGAAATTTAGTCAACATAGAAACATGAAGTTCAGAATTTAGTCACGGCCAAGCCTTTCTCTTCAAAGAAGAATGACGCCTAATTGTGACAGAGCGCATCGTTACTTAAGCGGAATAAGACGGTCTTCTGTGAATAATTCTTGGATTATTTTCAACACAATTGCAAAAACGTGCCTCGACAGAACTGATGAAAGTTGCCTCCGACAGGAAAATGTGCACACATCTGCGCAGTGGCCCGCGTGGTCATCAGATTTGAGAATTTCTGACTTCTTTCTTTGGAGACATCTGAGTTAATAAGAGTTTAAATGTCGCCCTCACCCTACAGGAGCCAATGTCTTCCTACAAGAGCTAAGGGAGCGGATTATTGAAAAACTCTACGATATATGCCAACGAGCTGTTCAAAACTTCAGAGATTGCCTCCAACAGTGTATTGCTGCAAACGACCGCCATCTTCCGGACGATATTTTCAAAACATAATTTATATAAAATGGTATGTAATACTAACTTGAAAAAAAAACAACATTTTTTCTCTATATACCTGAATGTTCTTATAACTCCTTAAAACTGCTTAGTCGATTATGCCCCACCCCATAGTTTATATTTGATTGATACATTACTTTTGTTGCGTATTTAATTTATTAAATTTGAAAATATCTTTACGATAAAGAATGCCTTCGCATTTTTTTAAATCATCCTACTAGTAATACGTTGTCGGCGAGATAGGTTTTTTAGTTTTCTACTTGCTAACACCTTTTCTACTATGTTTTCAAAAGTTGAAAAACTGAAATATTTAGAGTTTTATGTTTCTCCAACCATTGTTAATCTGGTTGTAAAGTTCATAAAAATACACTACCTCACTCTTTAGTGGGTGCAGCCGGACTGCTCGCCGTCGCTTCAACGCACAATGCTTCACAGTATTCTTCAGAGTACTTTACTGCGATTTATGCAAGTCTGCCCCTGTTGTTGGTTGACGGTTGCTGACGTCACTATGGTCTCGTTCAAGCTCTCGATTGGATGAAACTGTCAACAGCTAATACCTTCCAAGTGCAGAGTTGCCAAAATTGCAGTGTATGTCTTTCAGATATCCTCGCATGGCCTTGACCAATGGACTTGGCCGAGGGGCTATGATTCTCATCGCGGGGCCGCGAGATTCGTGAATAGAAGTCATGCCCATACAAATGTCCACGCTCGGAGAACCGGGAGAAAGGGAATTCCCCTATAGCATACACCTTGAGAGACAATCGACCTCAAGGTCGAACACTAGGCTGACAGCTGAAGCCCCTCAACTTCAGTGTCCGGCCGCCGACAATGAAACGTATATCACAGGGACAGAGAAATTAAAACAGACTTGCAGATGCAATTATTTCATTAGGAGATTCTCACGTCTCTCTGCTAATTGCATTAAATTCACAGAAATTCGGGTTTATAAGGTTTTCTTTCGCTGCAGGACATTAAAAACCGTTCCGCGTTGGACAGATTCCTCTTTATGCTGTGTACAATGCCATTTAACTTCACGGGTCGGAGAAATATTCCAAGTAAAGCAGGTTTCGGCTTGTACAATTTCTGGATTAGATTAAATTTACTATATTTTTTTTTAATTTTTCTTCAAATCAATAAAAATCCGTATTCTTTTGACGTCGAAAGAGTGAGTCGTGTATATTTGAGATTTTGAATAAATAAATTGCAGTTTTTTATTAACTTTTGTGTCAAAGAATGATAATAATACATTTTTTAATTCAATTAATTGAATGCTTTGAGTCTCTGATGCGTACCTTGTTCGTTTTGAAAATAGCATAGAAATCATTAGACATTCCTCTCAATATTTTAGTTCGGAATCTCGAATGCCTTCCAAATTAAGTTAAAGAAATCGGAAAATGAGGTTTCGCAAAAATACCGAGTCAGAACTCTTAGTTTTCATTCAAGATTAAATTATTTTCTGTTTAAGTCGAAATTCCACCAGGCGTGGGAAGAGCCTATTATCTTCGAGATCCACCCGTTGCAGACTAAAAAACTTAATTGTATAATGAGAAGTATTATCAAATCAAAGAGATTCGAATTAATTAATATGTAGCAGGACATTCGCGATAACTGCTGACACGTGGTTGACGAACATGAAACGAAATCGGCGGAAGAATCTCTTACAGAGACCGAATAACTAAAGTCAAAGAGTTCCGAAGTGGGCAAGGCAAGGTACCTAGAACTGTGCTCAATCCGCCGTCGACGTGTTGAGTTCATCTGCTCCCTAATGGCAATGTGAGCAGTTGAGAAACGCGGAAATTCAATCGGCCGTTTTGGAGGTTGCACACACCGAAACTATTCATTCCTCTTCCTCAACTCACACTGACCCCAGAGTCTGTGCCCTATATGCGATGTCCCCATGTGCCCGAAGTAAACCCGAACAGAGGAATATCTCTTGTATTTTGTCTCCCTTTGGAGAGTTAACTCAGAAACAATTTCAGTAATTGTGTTTGTAAAATATGTATATTTCAAATAAAAGCTCGTGTCTCTGTGTTCTTCCCTCAAATAAATAGCTTCCTTTGTTAGCTTTCTTTTGAATCAATTATACGAAATTAATTCTCCGGTACTTAATGCGTTGGATTTATGTGATTTTTTATATTAATTATATCATTTGTTTGTAAGACTTACGTATGGTACACAATTGTATAAACTTAATGTCACAAATGTATTTCATTTTAATGCACTTCAAATAGATTTGTCAATATTCGCGTGCTTCCTGTTGATAAGGCAGGATGTGTTCACAATAAGGAAAATACGGGTCTCGTGTTCCCAACACCACAAGATTTTCAGTTGATTGCATGATATTCTGCTCGTGAATTCCTTATAGTGTACGTGTTCGCATTTTCAAATGACCTCTGATCCACTTCCAGGATTACGAACTCATGTTCGTGATCGCTCCACCTGTGAACGGGACGGAGACGGCCTTTATATTATTCGTTTAACAAGCGGTCCAAATCTCTTGAATTGTTAAATAAAATGCCACAGCATATGGGCGTATTCCTAACACTGAACTCGAAGTTTTATCGACGTTTAATCACGCACGTGCAAACCTGCCAATATGAAGTTGATTTAAATCTTCTCGAAAGTAATAAAAATGAATAAGGTACATTTTTTTACGAATATTAACCCCATTTTCTCAAGTATTTCTGTACAGACTGCGTTGCAATATCGTGAACCATCCAAATATACCGAAGGGTATTCGAGATATGAGTAAACCCTTTTTTTCGCGTGTAGTCCAACTTGAACCACGCGTGCATACTGTCTCAGCAGGTGCAAGTACCTCTGGGCGTGATATGGCGAAATTCTGGGCGTGATTCAATGGCGTGACGTGGCGAAATCAAATAGGTAGAAAACAGCACCAAGGCTTCTCTTGCATTTCCTTATGGAAAACTAGGTCCGGAGAGAAATCGGGACGTGTGTAATGATGCCCTTCACTTGGATTTCTCATGTACGTGTGAGCAAGGCGCTGACTGAGCAAGATGGCTTCTTCCTTGAACTTTGAAAAGATCTCAATGTAAAAGAATATAGAAATATGTATGATATACTATATTAAATTTTTATGGCATTTTTCGTCAGTGTCTGGAATTGTCTACCTTGACTTCCTTCAGTTTACGCCACTGCTCAAGGCAATTTAGGATCAAATACTCTTGCCTCCAGTTTTAAATACAGTTTTAATTTTTAGCTCCCATCCACCGAATTCACTACTTTCTTCCACAGATTGTGGATTTAAAAGTAGTACTTTGCAGTACATGCGTCATAGTCATGAGCCATTCATGACATATCTAAGGAATATGATGATCAGAGTGAGAATCACCAGGGGTGAAGGAAGATATTATTACTTGACATAGAAATTATATCAAGTGACAGTATCAACAGCACACTAAAAAAATCCCAATACATGGACATTATTTTACAACACCTTGCCAGATGACATTAAACGATTAAATTCGATACAAAAGTTTAAGTCCCAAGTAAAATATTTTCTGCTGCACAACTGTTTCTATACAATTAGAGACTATACCGAGCACCCAAAAGGAAAGTAATATTAATTTTAACAATGCCATTTAATGTATTATAGACACAAGTTCAATTAAAGTGTTTAACAACGCAAAAGAATCAAAATTAATTGAATAACAAAACAGTTTCGTTTCAATTGAAATTTTATTAACAAGAATATTTCATAATATCTACTTTAAATAAATATCAACCCATTATTTTGTTTGTTTTTTACCATTGCCCGTCCAATTAGTTATATAATTGAAAATGTATAAAAAAATTAATTGGAATATTCTTCATAAAAAAATCCAAAGGGCGAAACTTCTTAAATTGCAGTCTCCCACGAGTCCTTTCATTGTCGTCTCTGAGGGTCTTAACTATTTGGATGGTGGTATACGAATCAGATTGCCCCCATACCCGTCCCCCTGTGATGTGTGTGTGTGCGCAGATCCACGACTCATCGTTCGGCGGGAGCAGCTCGGACGAGGACACGGAGGGCGGGCTGTACGGCCACCAGAGCGAGGCGGCGAACGCGCTGCTGTACGTGGGTCTGGGCACCGTGGCCATCGGGCTCGTCATCTCGTTCGTGGGCACGGGTGAGAAGGGCTTCAAGACGCTGGAGCTGCGCCTCATCGGGCCGTCGCTCATCGGCAGCGGCCTGCTGTGCTGCCTCGTGCGCATCTTCCTGTGCGTGTGCCCGTCGCCGTGCCTGCGCCGCCGCCACAAGCACCGCGGCCGGCACAAGGACGCGGCCAGCGGCCGCCGCCGCGCAGCGCCGCCGCGCCGCCGCGCGCACCAGAGCAACCACTTCACCACACACATTCACCAACCACCACCACCGCCACCGCCCCGGCAGCGCTTCTTCGGCGGCGCGGCGGCGCGCGGCGGGGCGACGGCGGCGCGCCCGGCGGCGGCGGCGGGCGCCACCGAGGACATCGCCCTCGCCGACCAAACATCCCTCTTGCTGAAGAACAATACCAAAAAATCTGTATCTATTTTAACTTCCCCCGCAGTAGCGCCCCAACCCTCAGGATCTTCCGCTAACGCTAGTCAAACGCGCGATACAACCGACCACTCCTCTTCTCCCAGGAACTCCGTGGTCGCCACCACCACTCTGTTCTTGCAGAACGAAAAAGAACGGGCGTCGACCGCGTACGGTTACAAAGTTCCAGCAATCAATATTCCTAATTTCATCGGAAGCAATAGCGACGACGACGAGCGCTCTCGCCGCCGCCGGCAGAGCCAGCAGCGGCAGCAGCCGTCGGAAGGGAACCTTCTCGACCTCGAGTTGCAGCAGCTGGACTCCGCGAGCTTCGATATATGTAGTTTCGATAGCAGCAATAGCCAAGAAAAAAGTGTTATTTTGAACGATAACGATAGTGACCATAGTAATACAGTGAGTAGTGCATTAAGAAGAGACAAGATGACCAAGCCCCGAGCCCCCGTTAATGCTAGAGTAGTACCTGTTACGCCCAAGCCCGCCAGCGGCTTGGTGAACCCTGACCCCGAAGCTCACAGACTGGAAGAAGACATGTTGCTCGCGGCGGAAGTGGAGGCTGAGATCGCCACGCCGACCCCTTCCCCGGTGATGAAGGACGCGCCAGTGGCCCCGAAGAACTTCCCCGCCCCATCCACGTCGCAAGCCCCGCTCTCATCTTCACCACAGCACTCCGAAAAGGACGACTTGCTGCAAAATGAAATAGTATTAAGTCCTGCAAAGTTACAGCAGGATATCAAAGATTGATGGGTTCTACCTAAATAAATAAATAAATAAATACATCACGTTTTGTATTGTTGCATTTTATAAATCCTTCAAAACTATGGTGGGATTGCCTAATGTAACCTAGTGTGCCTCTTAAGCTACTTTTTTATTTTGTCGCTATATACATACATTGCAAAAAAAAATATCATAAAGATAAGAAGAATAAGATATTATATCACTTAATTACATGAAGTACCATACTCAAGAAGACAAGCACTACAATGTAACATATGAAAATGAGAGAAATGTAGACCTCATATTTCTCAAGCACTAAATATTACTTCAGAATTATTTTCATAAGTATCTTGTTAGATGGCAACTGTATGGTGAAATGATTCCATATCACAGGCGAATATCATATATTGCATTTTATGCCACAACATTCTAGTTGCATGTTAAAAGTTCATGGCTTAATATAGATATTTGCTCCATTAGTCTAACATCACTCCCAAATTCTATGTGTACCAACCTTTTTATAATTACTTACATATGTACAAAAGGAATGCTTGACATATATCTTGTATAAAATTAGTAATTTCTGATGTATATTCCAACCTGCGGCTGGACTGGGGTATGAATATGTACTAATACAAAAGGGAACTTTTGTAGTTTAGCTATAAAGAAGTAAGTTTTTGAGTATGTGTATGTGTATGTTTACACAAACCCATACTTTAATTATAAAGGTGATACTCAAGATGAGAAAATATGTTTATAATAGATTATAGATGGCTGTGATTTTATCATGAATTTACACAGTGTATTGGTAATTTAATAGAAGTACAGAACACACAGATGAGTGCTCAAGATGAAAATATGACTTGCAAGACATATTCAGTTTGCTTCACTTCGATTTCCAATCATGAGTACCTTTCATGAATATTATAATTACAACAAATGTTTTCTGTGCCTTTGTTACTATTCATATTAGTCGACATTTACAAAAACAGAGTTATGTATAGAAAACTTTATGATGTATTTTAAATTAGAAAACACTCTCTTGTATGTACTGAACAAATTTTCTGCTTAAGAATCTATTTTTAATTATAATGAAGTAATATTGATTGAATATGTTGGTAAAAAATTACTTCTTCCATTAGAATATACATTCTCAAAATTTCCCTTATTTGCAATTGATTTCCTTTATGAAATTAGAGGTCTACATTTTTTATAAACATAGTATTTCCTCGTTCTCCAAGGATAAGTAAATCCCTCTCCTTTCGAAGCTAAAACGCAAAGCCCTATGACATTGTAGGGAAAACACCTCTAGCTGGCTGTTGAAATGGAAATACAAGAACACCAAAAATAAAGTTTTCTTTTTTTAAATCAAATTATGAAAAGGATTTTTAAAAGTGGAGCTTACTTGAGAAGCAAAAAATACAGAGTTATGTATTAAGTAGTTTTCTTTATAATGACCCAAATTGTAAACATCCTTCTTAATGAAGATCCAGCATCCTGTTATATCCTGAAACTTGATAAATATTATTGCCATCCTATTATCAAAATGAATTTTGTATTTTTTAAGAAATTATTTACTTATTGTTGTTAATTTATTACAGTTATGGGAGATTTGGAGTTCTTTGTTAGTTAATACCAAAATTCAAAGGTGATGATGAGGTGCAAAAAAAGATAAACTACCCTATTCAATTAAAAACTCTCTCAAAATGGTGATATGTATTAATAAAATGTGTACTTACATTGAAACAAATACTGATAATAAATTAGGTATTTGTCTTATAAGATACAGAAAGTATTAACTTGAACCAAAATGCCTGTTTCCAGACCTAGAATTTTAGTAAAGCAGGAAATTGTTTTGAAAAGAAGTTCTTTTCAAAAAAACCAAGATGGAAAAAACTGTAGAAAGTAAGTAGTCAAAGTTAAAAAGTATTTTTCCTCTTTGTAATGTTTGCAAAATCAAAGTACAAACATTCAAAGTTTTATCGAAGCTTTCTTGAATCATAATTTCTTGAAAAATAATTTCTGATTTTATTGATACTCATGCCCACCTCTCTCTGCTTTAATGAAAGAAATTATCTTTTACTATTTTGATATTTCTTATAACCAAAAAACTATGTGAAGATATCACTTTTCCAAAAAGAATTTATATGAACAGAAGTTGCTTAACAATACTAATATTTGAAGTTTTCTTCCTAAACCAGTGAAACATATTTTATGTATTAAATCTTTCACAATAGGAGAATCAAATCTTAAAATGCTGAAATAGCATAAAAAATACTGTAAATGTGATGAAATACTATTATAATAAAATGAAGTTAGATCAATAAACATTTGTTGAAGAGTTAGAATGGTAAAGCAGTATCATGTTTGGCTTGTGTAAGCCTAGTAAATACACATTATTACACTAGCAATATTTCACTCCACTCTTTATCATGTTAAGAATGCTTTTTTGCATTCACTATGGCCTACCTCTTCCAGGAAGATTTTTTTCATTTGTTTTAATTGTGAATACTGTACTGACACAGAAATGTGGGATGTAAAGTTTTTCCAATAAAATATTTTTTCCAGGAGGATGCTCTATTTTGAAATGCAAAACTATTAAAAGGTCACCAGTACATGTGTGTACATACAAATATCAATGCAATTGTACAAAAATAACAAGAGTCAACTTCTTTTATTATTTTTCTACAGCTGAGAGGAGAACAAAGCAAGTGGCTTGCGATGTGAATTGATAGAAAAGTGAAGAAAGAAGGCATATTCAGGAATTTAAATCTTACATGGTATTGACACTCATATTGTTTTAATAACATACAGTAAAAATACAAATATTTGAGATTGATCGAAAACTACACCATATCATATGAAAGAAGAATAATACTATGCTTATAAATAACAAATTGTCAATAAACAACAAATAAAATCTATTGATAAGTTTCTGCATCAAAATTCTAAAATAATATTGTTAACATTGAATTGAGAGTATTTACACAGCAACCAGCAATTTGCACTAGTGATTTCTGCGCAATAGATCTGCATTTTTTCCCTCTTGTCAACTTTATAGAGTTGTGGGATATTTTAGCCTAAACGGTTGAGAAACTTGAACAGAATGAGAAACTGGGTTGTTCTTACACAAAGAATTGTATTATTATCTTTGAAACTACAAAATACATTATTAAATAAAACACTAGTAAACATACTTCATCATAAAATACCTAGCAACTATAGTGCTCTTCAAATGAAAAATGCTGTGCTTAAATGAGATCAAAATGTGTATACCTGATCAAAGAGGAAGAACCAAGGATAAAAAAATATGTTAAGCAGATTAAAAGGTATTCCTCAAGAAATATACTAGACTGTTTTATGACTCAAGTTCCATGACTTCCCATGATTGCTGGTTATCTTGAGAAGTCATTCCTCTAACAATTTGTGATAATATTTGTGTTTGTCTATTTGTGAAATTGGGTAGAAAGAAGTAGTAACAGGTAGTCAGAGGTATGCTCATCACTCTAAAAATGGATCAAAGAAACACAGGTTTCTTTGAGAAGTTGACTAACATTTGAATAGAATTAGGATTCCTGCACATTACCTCATTCAGTTATAAAACAGTGGTTAAGTACAAATTTATAACTTTTTAGGAGTTATTTCAAATCCTAAAGGGGCTTCCAAATCCTGTAATTATTGTTTAATTCTATTTTCTATTAGATTTATTTGTAGTTTAATTAATTATTTTAAACTTAATGTATAACTTTCCCATAACTGGATAAGACTTACCAACTTTTGTTCCATGTTCTGTTGCATACATCCACTGGCAACAATGACTTCAGACATTGCATGTAAATTTAATAAATTAAAATTTAGGGTACTTAGTTATCGGCAGTCAATGCCGCATTTGCTCCACATTTGTCACAGTACTCATGGATTTTATAAGTGAAATGTGGATAATTTTTTACTTCAGTATAACAGAACTAAAGCTCTACCAGAGGCAAAAAAAAGTCCACTGTGCATGTCCGAGGCTCTTAAGAGAACAAGTTTATGATCTCAGCACCATTCTCAATATGTCAGTGTTGCTATACTTCCCTTCCAAGTGCTGATTAGCATTTAAAAGGTATTTTTTCTCATTTTCTCAATTCCTTCATCCCCTAAAACTAGAATTGAAATAAGATTAAGAATATTGAAGAAGAGATTAATATCCCATATGCAATTTTTCATTAACAAATTTAGTGCCATTTACGAGAAAAAGTAGTTTGAGCATTTTGAAAATGCGCAATTTTGAACTATTTTTGATGAAATTTCATTTGATAATTTTTCAAGAAATTTCATCAAAAATCATTCAAAGTACTTGAACTCACAAATGCTATAATATACAAGATGCTCGTGGTGTTAATATCAACAACAAGGGTTTATTTATTTATTATTGTTATACAGACAAGTAAGTCATTTATTCACAAAAAGATTAAAATAAAAAATTTGCAAGTAGCAACATAATTATAAAAAAAGAAACATTTATAAAGAAAAACATTCAATAATAACATATAGAATATATCTGGTATAACAGTAGCTCTACCACACCTACTCATTCAAATTTCAAGATTTTGTTGCTTGCCAGAGATAAAAAAGCAGATGTATCCATTTCACATACATCAATATTAAAACTGTTGACTGATTTGCAACATCGATTTATAACATTATTTGCTGTGTAAGATTGATGATAAGATCTAATATCAAAAATATCTTGGGTAAGAATTAAAGTTAGGTGTTTTCTACACTATCTGGTTTTGCAAGATTTTGTAATTGACCTCACCCAATATCAGTTTTTTCAAAAACAACAAGTCGTTTTAGTCTCTCTGAGAATTCAGTGAAGGAATGTGCAATTGCAGAGTCAAGTTAATATATTCATGTTTTATATATGGATCTTTCAATCCCAAACCATAGGCTGACATTCTGAAAAATTTGTGTTGGATTGTTTTAATTTGTGATTTATATTTTGAAAAATGATCTTAAAAAATTATATTTGGGTAATTTTTAAAAATAAAAATAACACATCAAATGGTGTTTTAGACATGCTATTCAGGGCATTTAGCATTATTTCAAAAAGTTTAAAGAAAAAATTTGGAGATGTTTTTTGAAAAAAATTATTTTTAACATTGCTCATATTTCACTCCAAATTGCACAAAGATTACTAATATTTTCAAAACACTGTGCATGACATTAAATAAAGAATTATTTGTGGAGTACAAATTTCATTTGAAGAAAAAATCTCATCAAGACTGAACTTATTGGGGGGGACAGAGGTCGAATAGACGTTTTGCCATAAACCAATTTTTCAACCCCTAGGACTCACAAAATATGGTTTCTGACCAACAACAAATTAGAGGAAATCACAAACAGGAAAAAGAATTAGCTACTTGTCTTAGTAGTCTTAGGGTCCCACAATACGGTTTTTTCTGTTGAAAAATCGCCTTTTTTCTCTGCAGCATTATGAAAATTTCCCTTCACAATGTTCACAGGATGTGAAAAAGTAACAAGTGGTGCTGCAGAATGACCCATACTATTTAATTTTCCTATTTCCCCTATCTCATACTAGTTAATTTTCCAATCTCTTTAGTCTGGAAGACTTTTCAGTTTTGCGCCTCACTCTTCCCTACTGCCATCTATTAGCTTAAAGTTTCATGAAAACTTCAAAAATTTTCCAAAAATTTCTTTGCAATACTTAAAGAACTAATTGTTGAGAAATAAATTTTAATTTAGAAGATAAAAATAGTAAAGTGAAATGTAAAAAAACTAAGAATTTTTTTAAATGATAAGGAGCCATTCATAAATTACATAATACAAATTTGGAAAAATTTTAATTCCCTTTCTCCCCTTCAAGCATACTTGCACCCCCCTAAATAATTATGTAATGTTTGGGAACTCCCACTCTTGCTGTTTACAAAAAGTAACAATAAAATATATAACAATGAAATCAATTTGTGATAATTTTATTGTGTCATATATTACAATTATTAATAATGAATGTCAGAAAATGTGGCGATGCTAACTGCACCTATCAATAAAATTGGAGGCAGGGGCAGATCCAGCTGATCATTTAGGGGGATCATATATTTTTATGGAATAATAAATATATTTGTTATGTTTATTATCTTTGTTGTGTATATATGACACTTCACAATATTATTTGTTAAATAATGACATAATTCTAATATAAATAAATATTCAAATCAATTTTGCCAAATAAAGGAAACTGACAAACGAAAACTCTCATTCGGTTCAGATAGCTAAGGTCACTAAGGATGAAGCTGCTTCGTTCTGAAGGGTCAACTGAGCTATGGATCCCACTCAGGGGATGGACTTTTGAATGCATCTGTATACTGTTACGCAAATGTTACTTACAGTGGTTGCTTTTTTTATCGTAGTAGTTGAAAAGCGACCTTAAATAAGCTAAAGTAGAAATGAAAACTAGGCCTGGGGGGGGGGGTGTCATTGCCCCCCTCTGCCCAGATTTGCCACTTATTGGAGGACAATTTTTACTTGAAGGAAGGAAGGAATCACTGTGAAGAAAATTCTGACTAGTGCACATATTATCGTAAAGGATGTATGGGCGAGGGGCGAGAATCTACTGCTAATCAATTTATGTGTATTCCTGATTATACAATAGATCGTTTTCAAATATTTTCTTTGTAATCTAAGATTCAATCAATTTACAATTGATGCAAATACATCTTCTATTATTTTCAACATTTATACATAACTTTTTAATTTATATTTTTGAATTTAATTTGTTAATATTTTAATATTTTAGTATAAGGCTGAATAAAAGGAATTATTTCAGCAACTGTTGAGAAATAAAAAATAATATCAGCGTAATGTAACACTAAAATAACACCCCCTATCCCATACAACAAAGCATAATGCTTCCTCAAAGTCCCTGTCCACACCTTTAGCATTACGTAATTTATGGACAACCCCTACATTAAAAAGAGAAAATTTAATTTAACTCACATTTTAAGCATACTCTAAGAGAATAAGTAAAATATGAATAACACATTTAAAAAACTCTGGAAGTATTATCTCTTAAACATCAAATGTGCATTTCTCTAGATGCATTTTCAAAAGATTATTGCAATGGGAACAGACCTGACATGCAAATTTTGTTACTGTCTTCATTACATTTATTTGGTTTTTAAACCCATTTTCACAGTGTAACTACAAAAATAAGTGCACTTTGTCTTCTGCATCATCCAGCTATGAAAATCTAAAAGTAAGTCTATGTTTTAACACGTTGGATCATTTCCTAACAAATCCTGCTGTACATACCAATCTTGACAAATGAAAGTCCAGGTAACACTAGATCAGGAAGAAACTTATATCAGCCATGTCTTCTATATATTATTAGCTCTGTGCTCTGTTCTACTTTTTATTTTAATAACATTATATTTTTCTTTTTCAAACATTAGCACTGTTGTTTTTCAACCATGCACATCATTTTTTATTCATAAGTGTCATCATTAAAATAATCTGTTTGAAATTCCTTTCATGTACTACTGTACTACTGATGTAATACCCAGTTCTACCTTTTTCCCAAGTTTCCCTATACCTTTTACTTTAATACAAGCATAATTATGACATTGAGGGTTAGGTCTCACTCTTATTGTCAACCTAACGGTGCCAATTTTACTCATTCCAAAAATATAATATGGTATCTCCAATGTATTTTTGATCAATTGGCTTAATTGTTTTGAAAATTTCCCTTTGAATACATGGTGAAAAATGGCAGCTTTTTGCAGATATTTATTAATTGCCAACAAATTTAATACTGACAATTAGGTAGTAAGCAATTCTGGCTTAGTTACAACAGTCCATAAAACAAGATAAGTTTGCACCTACTTGGTCATTAAAATAACCTTGACTGATATGAACTCTAAGCTTAAGAGTTGAATCCTTCAATTTAAGGCATTCTAAGCACAGTTCTACAAACACTCTTTATTCCAATGATAATATTTCAATGTCTCCTCAGGTGTACTGTAAAATATATGGAAACAATGAAATATCTACCCTCCCAAGATTTTTTAACATGTATTCCCAAACTTAAACTTTGTAATGAAAGAAACCTTTGAAATTGAGTAAAAGTGTCAATGCAAAAAACTGGGTCGCAAAACATGATTAGTGCATAATGCCAATAAAATAATTGTTTTAAATGTGAATTGATTTGTCTTTAATGTCAGAGGATACCACTACACATAATGAAATATAATATCTACTATAATAAAATTAGATAATTGTTATATAAGAAACAAATTTCCAAAAATATATACTAATTTTTAAATAATCTTCTTTCTAAATTACCACTAGTAAGCAGAAGTTTCAAGTAAAGACACTCATCTAGGAATGAAAATAATAAAATAATTACTGAACTTGATTAAATTAAATAAAACCCCCTAAATGTGGGAAAGCAATCAATATTGTAACTGAATTCATGAGTTACTTAGGTGCTCCCGTTAAGTTGAATCAAAAGTCAACTCAAGAGAGCCAAACAAATTGAGGTCATGGCTTAGGAGACCAAATAGTTAGAAATATTATGAGGTTAGTTCCATAGAGGTTATCAAACTCAAATGAAAAAAAAGAAAAGAAAGAAAGAAGAAAAAAATGCAGGGAAGGGGGAACTCATAAAAAACTCATTCATAAAAAGGCCTGACAGTGGGAGAAGCAAGGCTTCCATTTTACCCCCTGTGGTTCTGACCTGGCAATATCAACAAATTCTTCTGCAGAATCTATGCCTTACCTTACGCTAGATCATTACAGTAGTGTTTGTTGTTTTTTTTCGTCTCACAATGTATCTACTTCTGCTACTGAAAAATGCAACCAAAATTGCTTTTGTACACATAAGTTAATTAAGATACATAATTTGAAAGACACTCATAATTTCAATGTTGTAAACAAAATAGCTATATTGTTTGGACTGACCATTTAGTTTTGCTCCATCTTTTCTTTTGGTATAAACCACTTCTTTATTGTGCTTTGTCATATTAGTTTCCTCTGATGTTCATGTTCCAATGATATTAAGGATAGTGCTGCTATTTATAATTTAATAACAAACTGTCATTGTGGAAAAAACACACTTTTAAACATCAATGCTGCAATATCAAAATGCAAACTGATTACTGTTGATTGTCCTTCAATTCATTTTTCTCTTCCATTTTACAGATAATTTCAGAAATTTTAAACACTTTTTACTGTTACAAAATTATATATTAAGCCAAAAATACCAGCAAAAGATGCAATTTCTTCATTGTGTAAGAATCCCAAATAATTTACCTGTCAATTTCAGTGCTATCTACTTTCTTGGGTAAGCTATTTCTCACTACAACTTATTCCACAAGCAACTTATTCCTTAAAAAATCATTTATCATTTGCAATGAAACTAAAATTAACATTTGCTGTCTAGGAACATATTTTTTTCAGTTTTAAGTAGATAACTTAGGCACTATTTTTTTTTACTACTGACCACTTGTAAATCAATCTTACAAGTAATATTAGCCTTATTTATCACCATACACTTGCTCCTTATTGGCTCAGTAACTCAGTTGGTTAAAGCAACTAGGCACAAACACAAGGCCCAGGTTTGATTCATCATGGTATCATTCTTAGACTGAAGTAGCATTACAGTAAGAAGTCTACAAGTCTGTAGACTTTGTACATTACAGGCATTACAGACACAAATTGTAGTAACATGAAAAGTTTCAATGATTATCTTCAACCAGTGTCTAAGAAATGAAGGCTCAGTGAGGATTGTGACAATATTCTGGCACTGTGAGTAACCAACTGAAATTGGTAGCTCTATTTCAATAAATGTTATGCCTTAGTAGATGCTCCAAAGACGTTATACTGGTGTTGAAAGCCAATGTGAAGCAAATTACCAAAAGGTAGTGGTGCTACAACAGCACACATATCATCGTATTATTTTTAACATTTGCAATTTTCAATAATTCACAGAATTCAAAGAAAAGCTGTGACCTGCACCATTTTTCCCCTTTGTACAATATCTGGGGTCTTTTTGGACCCCACCATCATTAATTTGTTTAAATTGTAAGATAATTTCAGTCTTTTAGTTATGCCTTCTTGCACTTACTAAGCAGGAACCAAACCATTTTCACATTTTTTACAAATTTTGTTACTTATTAATTCTTTGTCATCATGTATCCAGTTTGATTTACCCTATGGTATGTTATTACATTATCATGTGAAACATCTTGTAACAAACTAGAGGAGAAACAGTAGGTTACGTGCTACTGTAAATATTCGATTTATCTCAAAATGTTTTTCACATACTCATATGGACATTTCTGAAACATTGTGTATCAACAATGGAGGCTACATGTGGAGGAGGTTATTCTTTATATGAAATATTTAATATGTAAAAATTATACTATGTCACAGAAGATAACTCATAAAGGTATCCTTACATATAATCAATTATTTACACTCAGTATATTTCTGATGCTTATTTCTGCTATTTTGTCTTATTTTTTGCCTTTTTCAACATTATTTTGCTTTTACTTTCCCCTATACATACGAATACACGGAGTAATATACGTAGTATAGGGAAAGTTATGTAATGCCGCGTAAAATCACAACGAACGAACGAACAACTATCCGCGTGAACCAGCGTGAACGCCACTAGCGTCCAAACCACGCTAAATCATACGTAGGAGTTTTTCCAAAATGGTTATTCCTCGGTCGATCTGGCTCGACTCGAGGCGCTGCGATTTTGAACAACTCTCTTCAAAATTTGGGGGTGCTCTACATGAAGCCCCCAGGACGATTTCAAAATTTTCTCAAAAACGTCTTCAATGTTTTTTTTTTTTCTTTAAATTTCTTATAAACAAAAAAGAGTAAAATGCACATAAAAATGGCATTGGCCCGTTAATATTTACATTAACGACGGTTTGTTCATATTTTTGCATTTACAAGCACATGTGCTTTAAATAATGTCATATAAAGTTTGACGGAAACTCAAAAGTTTTCTGTGAAAATTAGATCAAAATTCCGTATTTTCAGAAACGGTCAAACGTTATTTTCTCAAAAACGACCTGAATTTTTATTATCAAATTTTGCAAACGGAGAGTGCTAATTGCACTCCTTAATATGACGTAAAGGTCTTTTTTTTAATTACACAAATGTATTGTTTTGAAAGATCTCTCGCCTCATGTTTCAAGGGTAGGGAGAAAGGAGGATGTGCGGCTGCAGTCTGTAGGCACCACAAAATATTGCGGGGAACAGTCATTCGCAAGCTTTGTTTCTCTCATATTTTTGTGGAAATGACGTGTACTAATGATCCAAAAGCTAGTGGTTCGTGTGATTATGTTATAGAACAATTACCAAGGACTGAATTTCACAGTATTGGGTTTTCAGAAAAGCTCAAAATAAAAGACAACGGCCCACTCTAGAACTTCCAGATTTGATTGCAAAATGTCTACATAAGAAGTGAGAGTACATCAGACACTTCTGTACTTCTAATTATTCTAGACACAAATGGTTGTCCTAAAGTGAACGAACATTTTTGCCGTGTCCTCTTTTCAGTAGTGAAAGTGTAGTAACGTTTGGTCAAAAGAAAGATTGGTTAAAGTTAGTAGGATACACATAGTTTTTATGGCGGTTTGACGGACGGTTTTATGATCCAAAAATAGATCATTACTAATACCTGAATCATTGTCAACTTGCTTCCCGCGAATCATGACCCCTTCCGCACGGAACACGCACATGAGCGAGTGGCCCCTTTCTTGCTATACTCCCATTCGAAACCATCACACAACTGCTTTCGCTTGGCAAATCTCATCGGACATTTACATACAGGACACTTAAATCCTGTAGCAATCAAACCACGTTCTTGCACCCATTCAATGGCAATGATATCAAAGACATAAACACAATTCATACATTTAAAAGTAAATTGAAAGCTTTCCTGCTTAACAACATGTTCTACAGTGTAAAGGAATTTTCAAATTACAACATTTCCCTGAAAAAATATAAATAAATAAGAATTTCTTATCCCATTAGACTTTCTGTTTCGTGTAAACTGTTTCGAGCTGAAGCAAAGAAAAAAAACGGTCAAAACTTGCCTCCTCACCATTTCAAGTTTTAAATATAATATAGAATGTGCTATTATTGTTAAATTTGATGTAGTTGCAAACATAATTGATATGTATTGTTCCAATATTAGAATTATTATTATAAGTAGTAGCATAGTAGCATTCAAATAACATCTTGAAATGTTAATTATTAGCAGATAATTTATCTACATACGACAATATAGTTTCCATTGCTAGTTATTTAAGCAAACATGAAAAGACAAGCAATCATATATTTTGTGCATTTACACAGTGTAATTTCGGTAATATCCGAGTAGATTTGCTACTACTCGTTGCAAAGTTGCTAGCTAACTAAATACTCCGAGGGCTTTACAAATTTCGAAACAGAACGAAATGGTACAGAAGAACAGACTGATACTAACAAGACTCATTGATGTTGTCTTGCCACTTAGGAAAGCAATAACAGGCTTTCGGGGGACGCGATGAATAAGAAACATCGTTTAATAAAAGAAACTACATAAACATTATATGTACTCAAGCACAAATGACCAAATTCTAAATGATCATTTGCAAAATGCAACTGTTTTCAGGGGTACTTCATCTTCTATCCAGAACGATTTAATCGAAGCCGTAAGAAAAGTTATGGTACATACAATTACAAGGGAGTTTGCCTCTCCCAGCGCGTTACGGTTCGAATTGCGCATTCTCATTGTCGATTCCCACTCCTAGACTCTGCATTATCCTCACCCATCCACGCGGTCCCGGGTTTGCACTGAAGTTGCTCGCGCGCGGCTCTCGAGGTAAGTCAAAATGCATAATGCTGTGTAGGCCTGTGTTAGAGAAAGCAATTTACTACATACGATTTTCTACAGAATATACTCTTAAGATTTCGTACAGAATCCTAAATTGTAATTCAACTAACCGAACGGACCCACGTAACAAACCATAAATTCAAAAATACCGCCTCAATCGCCGCAGCCTCGCGTAGTAACATTGTCACCCATTCGAGGGCAGCATGGAGGCAGGGCTAACGCTAGTCGCGAGATTTCAGTAGTTTGCTGGCGCTGGGAATCATGGGTTCTTCGAGCACGTGTTGTCATTCAAATTGATTCAAAATCCAGTTGGCGTTGGACGATGGCTTTCGAATACAAGATCACTGCTGGGATACAAATTGGTGCACGATATTCGTTAAGGTGCGTCCTTATCAGTTCTGAAGTTGCCTATGCTCTCTTTGTGTCTTCGACAACGAAATAATGTGCTTCAATGAGTCACATTAGCCCAGCAACCGCGTTTATTGTAAAATTAAACAGTAACTAGCAGTGCTAAAATATAATTATTGTGCTGAGAAAAGGGAAGAACAACGGCTTGAATAACTGAATTGTTTAACAAAGCGAATTTGGAGTTTTTTGTATTATTCACCTAACTTCAAGATTTAACGAAACGTGTTTAGTTTACCCAGTTTTTAAACATTTTCATTCTGAAATACAGTTGCAATCTCTTTTCAGTGGATATTGCAGGGAACCTTGGCAGTTGGATAGAAATAATTTGAAAACTTAAGTGTTTAAGTTTCAGTTTATTTTAAAGTAAGGGCTTTATGAACGTTATTAATATCTTAATAAGTAACTGGGTGATAATTATTGCTTGGGTACATTCTTGTGATTGTGTCATTGGGCTATTATGTAGAGATAAGGTAGTGGAACTTTAGCATGGATGAACAAGTAATTTTCTATTTTTTTTCCACCCAGGTAACCTATTATTGTAATAGTGCTACTGTTACTGTGTAGCGATGAAGAACAGTGAATTTCATTCTGAAATGTTGTCTATTGATTTTGCTTTGAATTTGGCAACTTTAGATGTTAAAGTATAAATGGTATGGTGGTTTGTTACTAACACTTCAATACACGGTGTGATTCTAAAGAGAAATGTCATAGCTACATTGAGGAAATTAATATTTGAAAAATTAACCGTTTCATATTAATTGCTGGATCTATATTAGCTACGTGTATTGTGAATACCTAGCACACAACTCATTTGTCTTTTTTAACATTATCATGCATTTTCATTCAGACAATTATTTGATCATTCAGTTGTGAATGAAATTTTATTGGAGATTGTAGAAATAGGTGCTATTAGATTTTTGTGATCTGTGCAATGAATTTGTACTTAGAAATGTTAAAGGAAGAATTGAGTTTACCTAATGGCTAGGGTGTTTGAAATGCTTGCCCAGTAATGCATAATTGTTACAAAAATATAAGTGATCACTATGGGTAATTAAAGTTATGAACTACAAATTAAGAGTGTGTATTAGGTTACATTTATTCATCTTTCTGTTGATTCTATAATAGTAGCTGTAACAATGAAGTGACTATTGTTGAGGAAATTTAACTTTCCATAACTTACTGACCAAATGCATTTACCATACTTAAAATGATCATATTTTACATAGAAAGGATGATATTATTTTTAACATAATGCATGATGAAAATGTGCTTAAGAGAGTATACAAGGAACTTTTTTTTCAAGTATCATAATAACAGAATTGTTTTGTTTAGGAAAATTATGGGACAAATTGAAGATTTGGAAACTGACCTAAGAGTTCTCAAAAGAGGAAGCCATCGTGTGCCCATAGATTTTTGTGACTCTTCTGGTGTTACTGTACATAACAGAATATTTGCAACTTGAGGTAGACATGGGAGGTGTACTTGTATTTTATATTTTGGGAAATTGAGTGCCAGAAAACGATTCCAATGAAAGTAAATTTCAAGATGGACTACTGGAGCAGAAGTAATGAGGGAACTTGAGACCTGAATGGAGGGCTTGTGTTCCAGCCACTTTCTATTCTCTCGTCTTATGTGGATCCTTCAGTGGAAAAGACACTGGTAAGATTATTTTAGTTTCAACATTTCTAACTACATTTGTTTGTTTTTGGTAAATCAGAAGTTCATGGCGGGCTCATGGTTCATGCGTGCGGAATTGTGGCGCTTCGCTACACATATTGAACTTGAGGACGAAGCTCGGGCCTTCTGCGTTCAAGTTAACATAAAACATCTTTGAGTCTGTCCATAGCATAATGACCTATGCATTTTATGCAAACAATCATATTAAAAATCATTTGATGGGTAAATGTAAATGTTTGTATATGTTCTGTGCGGTTGAACAACGTCAAGGAACCAAAGAACACCATCAACTTCTGAAAATTATTTTTTTTTCTTTCTTTTTTTCCTCTAAAACAAACAAACTTGGTCATTTGCAGATCTTGGAATGCTGGAACCTATTCAAGTTGTGAACTTGTGAAGATCTATGTTGTTCAAGCATCCTGTCGTTTGTCAGTTTGTGAAGTGCCAAACCAAGTGTTCCACTGGTAAGCAGAGAAGTCAATAGTATTGTGGGTTCATACTGAAAGGAAATTGGATTCAGGGTTTTGTGAGATTATTGTGCAATGTTTTTTGCTTTCATTAAAAATGCAAACTGTAAAGAAATAAAAATAATTGAAGGGGTGAGCGCAATAGTGGTCTTAACCCTCATAAATTAAAATTGAATTATTGAGACCATTTGTGTAAGGTGAACTATCTTTGTATATTTTTCGTTTTGATTAGTTTTCCTCTATAAAGTTAAGAATGATGTTATTATTTTTTTTCTTCGTTTTCTCTTTTCTAACCACAACTACAAAAATTTAAGTTGATTTTTCTCTGTTTTTTGTGGATCTGATCACTGTTGCGCGGACTCCATCAATTCTGAAGCACATAGTCATTTGGTACAGGTGTACGGTTTTCATGAATTGTCAAATATGTAATTTGAATTGTAAATATTGCTGTACAATTACGTTCAAGATTTCTTGGGCATTTAATGAGTAATAGAACTTGTTCAGTGATTTTTCTGAATGAAAAAGGAAAAAGGAAGAATTGTTGATATCTGAATTATACTAGATAATTTTAACAATAATATTATTACTATGTCTTATTGCTTAGGGGTTAATATGTAAAGGCTTTACGAAAATACCTTTCAAGGGACTCTTTAATAAAGTACAATTGAGATGTGGGCACTGCAGAAAAATTAATCCATATAATCCTTAAAATTTAATATGTGAATAATCATCTAAACGTTCAGAGAAAAAAATTGTTAATTGATCACTTCTCAAAAAGGATTTCTTCTTTTTCATCTTCTTCTTTTCGTGCATCTTATTTGCTCATTGGTCTCAATTTGCTGTCGGTCTTGTTTAGATCTGATACATACCCTCTCCCAAAATATAATGATACTATGCCTTGCAAAATATTTGTTTTGTAAGCACCCTCTAAATCTACAAGAGAATAAAGACATGGTCTTTATGAGGTCTTTGTCCTTTCCTAGCTTAGTTTGAATTCTTTCAAAAATATCTGATAAGGGCATGGCTTCCAGAGTAATGGTGCTTTCGTTTGTCTTTTTTAGCATAATTACAAGTGTTTTATATATTTTTATTAATAGAAACTGATTGTGATAATTACTCTATTTTTGAATCCAGCTTTGCGGAAACTGTTATTTGCTGTAGGTTGCTCGGATCTTTGCGTCATAAATCTGGTGGGCTTCCAGTATAAAGGGGTCGTCCATGAATTACGTAACACTAAAGAGTGGAGGGGGGTTTGAGACAGTGTTACGCTGCGTTACATTGGGGTAGGGATGTATTCGATTAGTATTATGTAACATTGATACTCTTTAGTATTTTCTGAAATACTACTTAGCGTTTTGAGTCTTATACCAAAACAGTATAATATCCAATTAATTTATTTTAAAATATGAATAATTTAAGATTATTAGAAGTTGTTACAGTAAATGGAAAATTTTTTTTGCCTATTTTGTATTGAATCTGTAAGATTACAAAGAAAATATTCAAAACTGATCTGTAGTATTTTGTAGAATAGAATTAACCTATTAACATCCAACTTAATTTTTTCTATTATATTTCAATTACATTGATTACATCTATTATTGGAGTGAGTGTGACTAGAAAATAAAACAAAACTTAGTTTTCACTTTTAGTTTTTTATTTATATGCTGGTCTATAAATAGACTGCTGGGCAAATTACTATTCTAACAGAAAATATGCAATATGCATTACCCCAAACTAAAAATTCAGTTTTTTATATTTATTAGTACTGTAAAACCATTTATGCAAAATAGATTGAATTAACCTATTAACTGTAATGTAGTGCATTTCTTTTATAATGTATGGTAATGATCGTAACACTTTCGACAAAGCGTTTCCATGAACTGTTCTGTACAAGATCCAAGCATTTACCACTGCTGTATTGATCATACGTGTGAAAAGGGGTCAATACCATTCTTTCCCTCTAACAGAAATATTGTGTTTTCCCACAAATCTCCCATGTGAACGTTGTAATTTTTTATTACCTGTGGTTGGCCTATATTTATTCTCGTTCCGGAGGCTTTACTCCATCTACTTGTGGGAATGATTGGTTCTAAAGCGTCAAAATTTGTCCATACTGAAACAGACTTATTGTCGTGCCATCTGACAAAAAATACTTCACCAATTTCATCAAATGTATAATCGTATGAACCTCTTGGCAATTTTTGAATGTCTTTTCCTGTCAAAAGTGGGCAGCTTGGAAGTCTGTTCTCTCTTATTGTGCCTGTAGCTCTCATTCCAATTTCTATCAAATGTACTAAGAGATCTCTGCTGGTAAAAAAGTTGTCAAAGTACACAGCATGTTTTGAACGATCAGAAATGCAGTCCAACATTTTCAATACCACTCGTGTTCCAAGACCCAAACTTTTTCTCCAGTCGCTTTCAGCTGTGCCAATAGATTCCAGTTCTTTTCCACAATATAGATCAAAATTGTAGCAGTAACCATTGAAACCACACAATGCCCACAACATGTAAACAAATCGAATGGTTTTTCCCTTTATAAATTGAGTCTGTTGTGACCATAGTACTTAATAATCATCTCGTCGATTGACTAATTCTCTTCGAAACAACCAAATTGCTAAAATGATGCATTTAATGTCGTAATTAGAAATCTGACTTAGAAACCTTTGTCTAACATATTTTCTTGTTCGCTGTTATTGTCACAAAAATGTAAATATCGTTTTATTTTCTAAAATGATTCCTTGACATAGCGTTCTTCACAATATCGATTCCAAAATCGTCTTCTTCTGACCAATACATTCTTTCTTAGGGTAAAGTATGATACCTGGAAAGCAACAAAATTCCTAGAAACACTTTTAGTTCGTCTACAACTAAGATAAATTGAGGACAATTTTTTGAAGTAGTCTCATAATGAACTGATTGTTTCACAATATTTTCAAGCATATTTTCATAGTTAGTTATCATTTCCGTGAGTTGGAGTGGAGTCAAGTCTTTCAGTGTGTGTGTGTGGGTTTTTTTTCCCCTTCAATTCTTCTCGAGTAACATTGGGGCATGAACGTTGAACGTTGTGTGTCACTAAGTGTTGAATATGTGGGGTGTGCCTTCTTGCATGACGCTTCGTCATTGCATAATTTCCTCTTTTTGTCATTTTTCTTGCATGTCCGTCTCTGTGCTAACGCACTGAAAAAATGAAATATGAAAGATGAAATGATAGTAAGTCAAAAAGTTCAATAAATTTATCTGCCAAGTGACAAGATAAGTATGAACGACTCTTCTTTTCTGCTAGAAGAATCCTGAATATCTAGAAGTCCTGGAACATCATTTGTAACAGCGCAACCCGTCATATCGTCCGGCGTTTCATCATTGTCGGTCAGAGCATCTGTGGTGTCTGGAGGTAGAACCACAGCATCCACCGTGTCACATTCCTCGTCGAGCTTATCAAAATCTTCATCTAGAATGTCTACTATTTCACTTACTGTTAAGACCCTTCCTTATTACATTTGACATAATTGCCTGAAATATCACATTTATGAAAACTACTTCCATTACGCGTCAATTTTCTCAAGAAATAAAAATTAAAAGTTCCAATTTACCAATTAAATATTGAAATTTCTTCCAATAATTATCAAAGATTCGCATAGAACAAAAAGCGCGCGGATCAGCTCACAAGAATAGACTTCGAGAAGATAGCAACTGGTCAGTAATACTCAAAATATAGAATTAATTATTGGAATAAAATTCAAATGAAAGCTCCGCGTAGTCCACACGATAATGAGTTTAGAAAATTGCTGGATGGATTTTTAAATATGTGTGCAAAATAAATATGTATACATTTCTCAGTGTACAAGATCCCAAATAAAAGTGTGGACCAATTAAAATTGCCCAGACTAAAAGAACATACTTAGAAACGAAAAAAATGTCAACTGATCTATAAATAGACCGCTGGGCGTTAGTGGGTTAAATTGGCGCAGTAGACTCTCGCTCATACGCCATCCACAGCGGCGGCGTGAGCACGGCTTATCAGAAATGTTCTCGCCTGTGCGTCCTTCCTTCACTCACAATTTGCCCCCAATGTTGTTCGGTGTCAGCATTGACTTTATTGAATTAATTCAGACTTTAATTATCATGAATTTTAATACACTACACAAATAAAATGAATACAATTTTGTTACTATTTTCACTTATTGCCATTATTAGGGGGGTTTTTAAACGTTACGTAATTATCAAAGGGGAGTTTAATTGCGCGTTACAGGGGGAGAAGGGGATTCTAAATACTCCAAATTTGCGTTACATAAATTATGGACGGCCCCAAACACCTCTTTTGACCCAGTGCTGGTAATTACTAATCCTTTTGATGCACTGCCCCACCCAGTAATGCCTATAGTGTCACCTTTTTTGAGCAGCGTTTGCCGACAATCAGATTGGAGTCGATCCACGACTGGGCTCCTGATTAGTCTCGAGTCCACTTCCCAAGCAGGAAACCGCGAGCGCGGCGCGCAACGGCGACTCCTGATTGGTCAGGGGCCTACGATCCACCGGAAGTCGCCTCTGGACGGGGCTTTCTTTTTCGGCTTAGCCTTTGTGTGATTTTGATGTTTGGCGTTTTACTGCTTTGTGTAACTGGCGGGTGAGGGTTCGCGACGGACCTTGGCCAACAACCAAATCGGCTGTTCTGTTGCCACTACGCCCTCAGAATGTCAGAGGGGAGTGCTCGTCTTCTTTGTCATATACTGAGGACGTGTCGAGCTAATTGTTTAGCGTTGCCGGACCTTCGTTGGTTCGAAAGGCTTCACAGGCTTCGTTAAACGAAAGTCGTCTCAAGCATTGAGTGAAGGACTCGATATCGCGTATACTACTGAATGCCAGAGGTGTCATAACGTTGTAAACGGGGGTTTGGCACCGCACTCTCTGTTCCCTCGTGCAATGCGCGAAGGTGCCAACCCCCCCCCCCCCCCCCTTCCCCCGCAACAAACAGTCTTAGACGTTGCACTTAGTAGAGTGTAAATCTTTGTCAATTGTCTTTGACTCTTTTGGACATCTCTTGATTATTGACTCGTTTTTGATGATCGCCTGAACGCCGCTTGTGCCTGCGGAGGGCGGACTAGGGGGGATGTGTTTGAGGAGTGCTTTTAAGGAAGTTTCTGGTATTTCTACACCACGTTTGACGTAATCAGGATGGCGCGTTTCTTTTTTATAGTGGAGATTCCCAGTAGGCCTATGAACCTTTTTTTATTTTTTATGATATATGTGGAATATAGTAGTTGCTATCGTTTTTTTAATGTAGTTAGATATAAAACTGATTGTTCAGGACTATATGCATATTCGATAGTTTTGCTGAAAATTGTATAATCGAAACTTGTAATTTCAATTCTGTATCTGAATTTCGTATAGCCAGTCTCGGATTTAATTTTCGGTGAATGTAACCATATTGATGGACATTATACTGGAGGAAGGAAAATTTGAGTTACAACAGTGATGTATTCTAGTGAAGATTCTGAGCCCATTCTATGTAGTACACCTGTATGGGAATGTCCTTGTCGTAGACTGTTGCCATTTGTTACAGTATTAGTATTTTGTGGATTTGATGTAAGAATATGATTATTTGTTGATTTTGCTACTTTGTATTGAGTTGCTTTTGTTTTAATTTTTATATCGTGACGTGTATCAAATTGAGGGAATATCATATGTTTTGTGTGTTTCATAGCTAATTCTTCTATATGATGAAGATTGTTCCAGGTAATCAATGGGATTGAAGTCAGTGTCGTGATGTTGTTCAGTTGGTTTCATTAATTTTGATTTACATTTATTAATAATTCTGCAATTAAGTGTGAGAACTTGGTGGCAGAATACACTAACTTACCATTACAGAAATTTACAACTTTACAAAATCTACAAACTTTACAAATTCACGTGAACATTTCACCGTGCAATCTTTCATAGAACTCCGCTTCACCACACTCCGCTTCACCACACTTCGCTTCACCACACTTCAATACAGCGAGCTGTAATGTCTTTCTTACACTGTTTCTCTGTTTCACGTCACTGCACTACACATAATAATAATGATGATAATGACATAAATAATAACAATAATATTTAATTACATTGAAGACATAGTTGATTACACTGAATTTTATTAAATATATTTATAACACACACATCTACAGTCAAGAAACTAATTTGCTCAGGCTTTGAGGAAAGAGATCGAAGATTGGTACAGGCAAACTGTTCCAGTTCCTAATAGTGCGGTTCG